ATTCTTAATACTTATTCTCAGTAAATTTCCCTCCTTCTGGCCTGCTTTTAAGCCACATAATTGCAACAAGACAGGATGTGGCTCAAAAGGCTGAGCAACTTAAGGCCTCTCATTATAGCCTTTGTTTCATTAGAGTTTGCCAATTTGACCTTCATTCCTGCTGGTCCATTGGTAAACTTGCAGCCTGCACAGGTCCACACAAACAGCTGAAGCATGATCTTCCTTTAATAGAAGGCTGTGCTCATGGTCCTTTAAATTATGCATTCTTTCATTTGTGCAAACTAGGCCAGGAGAGGGACTTGTAGAACAGCCTCAATCCTTACATTGTCTGGACATAAAAATAAATAGATGGAAGCAAAATCCATTGTCAGATTTTAACAAAAGAAGAAAAGAAGAAACAAGCAATGGAACAGAGTAGACATCCCCTTAAAAAAAATGGAGAAAGAGAAGGCAAGAAAGTGATAACATAGGCCGGGCATGGTGGCTCACGCCTGTAATTCCAGCACTTTGGGAGGCCGAGGCGGGAGGATTGCCTGAGGTCAGGAGTTCGAGACCAGCTTGGCCAGCATGGTGAAAACCCATCTCTACTAAAAATACAAAAATTAGCCAAGCGTGGTGGCAGGAGCCGGGAGGCGGAGGTTGCAGTGAGCCGAGATCGTACCATTGCACTCCAACCTGGGCAACAGAGTGAAACCCTGTCTCAAAAACAAACAAACAAACAAAAAAACAAAACAAAAAAAAGAAAGGAAAGAAAAAAAAAGGCGATAACACAAGAAGGACTGTGTGGGGTCTTTTAAAAAATTGAGTGGCATGTTTTGGAAATGAAATAGAAAAATTCTGCAAATTCAAAAAAGGAAGTAGCTTCTGACCCTTTTCTAGACTCTGGAATGAACAAGCAAACCTGATTATGATCAGTGTCAAGCAATATTTGCCAATTTCTATGAAACTGTGAACATAAAGAAAGGCCTGTGAGTCATGAGTACAGGAGAGGAAATTAACTGCAATATTTACTGTGCAGATTCTGATTCACCACTATTTTGGGAGAAAGCCTGGTTGCTGTTAGCAAATGCATTTACATTCTGCTGGAAGCTCAATCTTATCAAGCCACTTTAGCTAATAAATTACTTGTGAGTTGCTTTAAGTAATACTTTACTTGGAAGATTCAGAAAAACCAGTAAGTTTTTCTGAATAACCAATTATTTTCTGAAATAACTCCTCAGTGTTATTTCTGAAGTAAAATTCAGAAGAGAAATAAGTTAGCAAAAAAATCTCAATACAAGTGAGGTCTACCTTAAGAAAACATGATAGGCAGTATTTTGGTCTTGCAAAATAGATAAACTAGGGTAAGGTATTTGCTTTGACTGCGATTTTTTATTATGCTCTGCAAACTCTCTCCACTCCTGCAAATGGAAACAAGTATGATGTCCATCAAAAGTGAATTGGTTAAAGAAATTATGTATTTCCACATCATGAAACACTAGGCAGCTTTAAAAAAAGTGAAAAGAGGCCGGGCGCGGTGGCTCAAGCCTGTAATCCCAGCACTTTGGGAGGCCGAGACGGGCGGATCACGAGGTCAGGAGATCAAGACCATCCTGGCTAACACAATGAAACCCCGTCTCCACTAAAAATACAAAAAAATTAGCCGGGCGTGGTGGCGGCGCCTGTAGTCCCAGCTACTCGGGAGGCTGAGGCAGGAGAATGGTGGGAACCCGGGAGGCGGAGCTTGCAGTGAGCCGAGATCGTGCCACTGCACTCCAGCCTGGGCGACAGAGCGAGACTCCGCCTCAAAAAAAAAAAAAAAAAAAAAGTGAAAAGAAATCGGTTTGTAAGTAAGCTAGAGAAAAATGGCAAGGTATGAAACACTGTATATATTAGATTTCTCTGTCTTTGTAAATGCTTAGAATATACACTGACAAAATCCAAATGAACTGGTACCATTTTTTTAACAGTCGCTGGTTGTCATGGGGGAAAAATGGGGATTACAGAAGACTTCCTCCCCTAATGCATTGTTTTGTAGTGTTTGCTGCCATTTTTTTTTTCCTTGCCCTTGTGATTATTTCTTACTTTGGAGAAGAAAAAAAAAAAAAAAAAAAAAGAAAACGAAAAAGCTAACAATAAATAAAATTGATTTTAAAAAATATTTGAAAAAATTGGGTATCCTTCATTTCTAATATTATTGATTAGAAATTAGGCTTTAGAAGTCAATTTTTGAAATACAAGCAGGAACAATAGTACTTATATTCCTTCTGGAAATTAATTAGGTATTCCTTAAATTGATCTTGGTCACAGAGCTTATAGAATAAAAATGTTAACATACGATTACAAACATGCTCTCTCACTGTCCTCTACTGCTTGTTGAATGATGCACTGTTGTTTTCATTGATTTTTTTTTTTTTCTGACACAAGGTTTGGCTCTGTCACCCAGGCTGGTGTGCAGTGGCATGATCATAGTTCATTGCAGCCTCAACCTCCCAGGCTCAAGTGATCCTCCTACCTCAGCCTCCTGTATAACTGGGACTACAGGCATTTGCCACCAGGCCTGGCTAATTTTTTAAAGTTTTCTTTTTTATTCTCTTTTTTTTGTAGAGATGGGGTCTTGTCACATTGCTCAGGCTGGCCTTGAACTCCTGGCCTTAAACAGTCCTCCCATCTTGACCTCCAAAAGCACTGGGATTACAGGCATGAGCCACCACACTCAGCCTTATCAATAATTTCTAGTAAGAAGCCTCAATACCCTACTAGCCTGATCCAGGAAAGCTGGATCAGTATTGGAGGTTGGGGGTGGTGGGGATATGGCTTTCCCTAATCTACCCTTTTGTGTTATCTGTGTCAGTTTCACAACCATAAAATGGGGAAAAGAGGGGAGTTTTATTTATTTTCATAACTCATGGAAGACTGTGTGCACCAACTGAAGCTGCATGGACACTTAGAAGATGAAGAGTACGTATGATTATAGGGCTGCTTTATAAAGAGAATGGCTGTTTTCCTAACACACATTAAAGCAAGAGACAGATGGAAATGATAGGAGTTATTTAAGGCTGTGATGTCGGGTTGTGATAATGCAGGTAGCTGACCATGGTCTGTTATTAGAGGTCATTGTTTTACTCCTGTGCTTTCAGTGATGGCTGGATGGCACAGGGAGAGTGGCAAAACCAACCAGGGCAGCATGAGTCAGTCTTGATGTCACTGTAATACCGAAGGAGGCCAAGAGCAGCTGCATGGTGATCTATATGAATTCTTCAACTCTTATATGTGCAAAAACGTGTTGTACACTTGAGCTTGGATCAAGAGAAGCAGATTCAGCTGGGCACAGTGGCTCATGCCTATCATCCCAGCGCTTTGGGAGGCTAAGGTGGGAAGGCTGCTTGAGCCCAGGAGTTCAAGACCAGTCTGGGAAAAATAGCCAGACTTTGTCTCTAAAACTTTCTTTGTCTCAAAACACTTTCTAAAAATTATCTGGGCATGGTGGCATGTGCCTGTAGTCCCAGCTACTTGGGAGGCTGAGGTGGAAGGATTGCTTGAGCCAGGGAAGTCGAGGCTGCAGTGACCTGTGATCAGGCCACTGCACTCCAGCCAACGGAACACAGCGAGACTCATCTAAAAAAAAATAATAATAATAATGAATTTTTTTTTTTTGAGACGGAATCTCACCCTGTCGCCCTGGCTGGAGTGCAGTGGCGTGATCTTGGCTCACTGCAACCTCCGCCTCCCGGGTTCAAGCAATTTTCCTGCCTCAGCCTCCTGAGTAGCTGCGACTATAGGTGCATGCCGCTATGCCCAACTCATTTTTTGTAGTTTAGTAGAGACAGGGTTTCACCATGTTGCCCTGGCTGATTGCAAACTCCTGAGCGCAGGCAATCCACCAGACTCGGCCTCCCAAAATGCCGGGATTACAGGCGTGAGCTACCGTGCCCAGCTAATAATGAATTTTTAAAAAAACAGCTTCATAATAAAATTTTAAATTGACATTATGTTAGTTATTTAGCCCTGGAAATCCAAATCTGATAGATTGTGACCCTCTTTTTTTTTTTTTTTTTTGAGATGGAGTTTCTCTCTGTTGCCCAGGCTGGAGTGCAGTGGCACGATCTTGTCTCACTGCAACCTCTGCCTCCCAGGTTCAAGCAATGCTCATGCCTCAGCCTCCCGTGTAGCTGGGATTACAGGTGCCTGCCACCACACGCGGCTAATTTTTTTATTTTTAGTAGAGACGGGGTTACACCATGTTGATCAGGCTGGTCTCGAATTCCTGACCTCCTGATCTGCCTGCCTTGGCCTCCCAAAGTGCTGGGATTACAGACAGGAGTCACCATATCCGGCCTGTGACCCTTTAATAAATAGCACACAACTGATTTTTCTCTACAAAAAGCGGACATGTTCACTGCAGAAAATTGTGAAACAGAGATAATAGCATCAGAAGAAAGATGACTTATACCGCATCATTGACAGATCACTAGCACCAAAAAATTTGGCTGATGTCTTTATTATTCATTTATATGTCTACCATCCAATTCAAATATGTATATGTATAAATGTACACACAAAATTTACAAAATAAATGGCATCATCCTGTTCATACTAACATGAAATAGAAACCTAATGGTGTGAGCTTGTGGCTGGGCATGGTGGCTCACGCCTATAATCCCAGCATTTTGGGAGGCCAAGGTTGGCGGATCATTTGAGGTCAGAAGTTTGAGACCAGCCTGGCCAACATGGCAAAACCCCGTCTCTACTAAAAGTACAAAAATTAGCCGGGTGTGGTGGCGCATGTCTGTAATTCCAGCTACTTGGGAAGCTGAGGCAGGAGAATCGCTTGAGCCCAGGAGGCGGAGGTTGCAGTGAGCCACTATCACCCCACTGCACTCCAGCTTGGGCGACAAAGCAAAACTCCATCTCAAAAAAACCCAAAACCCCCAACAGCCTAATGGTGTGTGCTTGTCAACTATGTTGTGATTAACACCTTTTGAACAGTTTAAAGTTCTCCTAAAGTGATTCAAACTTACCTTCCGAGGCTTCACCTTGTCTTGTATATCATACTGGCCAATTCCCTTATAGCTGATTCCAAGCCACCAAGGAAGTCCTTGCTTATCCTAGAAGATGAAAAAGCATGAGAACCAAGACCTAGCTGTTAACTCTTCTAGAAATGAATAAAATTTACCAATTTCACCTTTTTTTTTTTTTTCCTTGAGACAGAGTCTCGTTCTTTCACCAGGCTGGAGTGCAGTGGCATGATCTCGACTCACTGCAACCTCTGCCTCTGGGTTTGAGCAATTCCCCTGCCTCAGCCTCCCGAGTAGCTGGGATTACAGGTGCACACCACCACGCCTGGCTAATTTTTTGTATTTCAGTAGAGATGGGGTTTCGCCATATTGGCTAGGATGGTCTTGATCTCTTGACCTCATGATCTGCCCACCTCAGCCTCCCAAAGTGCTGGGATTACAGGTGTGAGCCATCACACCCGGCAATTTCACCTCTTAACAAGTATCAGCAAGTCAAAATAAAGCTGTCTTGATAAACAAAACATTATTTAAAAACCTAACTTGTTATTAAAACATCTTGGAGTTTCTTCAAATAGAATCTTTAAATTGAAATAGTCCAATACTGTTAATACCATCAAAAAGAGTAAAGCATTACTGCTTTAATTAAACAGTTGGAGAAAATAAATAAAATGTAAGTAATTCAACTAAGAATTAATCCAGTAAAAAGCCAGTTATCCATTAAAAAAAAAAAAAAAAAAAAAAAAAGCTCTTTCTCTCTTAATTAGTAACCAGTTATAAAAGGTTGGGGACGTTTCCAAAGAATTACAAAGATAAGAAAAGTGGTTCCAATTCCTGATGTTTATAAAACAATTAACAATGAACATTGGGATACTGAACCCTTTTGGAGAACTGTACAATTCAATGACAGGATGTTTGAATAATTGGTTTCAGGTACATATGAGGAGGTGAGTAATATTTTTTTCATAAATTTATCTTTTATGTTTTGCCAAAGCATAGAATATACTGACACAGGAAAAGGAAAATTTAGGCTTAGACAGATTCCTATATACAAACTGGAGTCAGTAGAAATTAAAGTTAAATTGGAGACTGGGCATGGTGGTTCATGCCTGTAATCCCAGCACTTTGGGAGCCCGAGGCGGGTGGATCACCTGAGGTCAGGAGTTTGAGACCTGCCTGGCCAACATGGTGAAACCCCATCTCTACCAAATATACAAAAAATGAAACAGGTGTGGTGGTGCGTGCCTATAATCCCAGCTAATCTGGGGGCTGAGGCAGGAGAATTGCTCAAATCTGGGAGGCAGAGGTTGCAGTGAGCTGAGATCACGCCACTGCACTCCAGCCTGGGCAGTAGAGCTAGACTCCGTCTCAAAAAAAAAAAAAGTTAAATTGGTACTGATTTTTAGCACAGGTATTCTCATTATGTAAATATTTTTTATCTAATTCCCCATCATTTTGAATTGTATAGAGATATGAACATTATCATAACATGAAAAGTCAATCAAGAACTGATCAATTATAAAATTATTTCTCTTCCAAACAAGACATCCTTAACACTTTCATCTCATCATCTCAAAATATCTGTCAATCTCTCCCTGCTTATAAACATCTGAAAATACTTTTCATCATCTCAAAATATTTCTTTGTCAATCTCTCCCCACTTATAAAACACCTGAAAATACAGTGTATGTAATACACTGATTGAAACATGGTATTGCAAATCCTGTAAAAATTTCAGCATTCCATGAAGCTGTTGAAATAACGCTGGGGACTGCATAATTTTCAAACAAAAGCATTCTCAAATGAAGATCTGGTAGCGCTAGAAAGGTGACCAACTGGAAAAAGGACCGATCAGCAAGCAAAGGTGTTTCAAAAGAGAATGATCTGAACATCTTAGGACGAAGAGAGGTCTTGGAAAAACATTTTACCATAGCAAGTATTTTGCAAAAATAATGTGCTTTATAATTTGCTACAAATGGCAAGGTAAAATCAGCCTTTTATATATTACGAGAAAAGCTGGTATTGTGCAATAACTCTTAATAATCATGAAAGCTTTGTTATGTAAAACGATTTACCTTTACTGCATAATAATGGACACCATAAGTTGGTAGAGCTTCTACTATTTTCATATACCTATGGAAAATAAATATGTATCACAATCTTATTAAAATAGTTATTTTCTCTTTTGGGAAAAGTGATTTAAAGAAACACCATGTTTCTACTTTCCTCACTATTAGAATAATTAATAAGTTTCACTCAAATAGAAACAGAATAAACTATTTTGGGGAGTAATATATTTTAGCTTATTCAAATGTTAGGAAAATGCTAATAGAACCTCAATTTCAAAATTACAGAAAATGTTACTTTCCACACATTCAAATGTTTACGGATTAGGAATGTACTGTATTATAAACTCCACTTGCACGTGTTTTTAAAGTAAGCCCCTAATGATGCAAGCAATGAGCACCAACTTTTGGGTCATACTCATAAGTTAAACAATAAAGCTATTCCATATATTGCTTGTGGTAGAGGTTACATAACTAGAAACATCTGTCAAAACTCCTAGAACTATATACTTTAAAACTATGAATTATGTAAACCTGACTTAAAAAATATGTCCCCCGGAGGCCGGGCGCAGTGGCTCACGCCTGTAATCCCAGCATTTTGGGAGGCAGAGGTGAGTGGATCACCTGAGGTCAGGAGTTCAAGACCAGCCTGGCCAACATGGTGAAACCCCATCTCTACTAAAAATACAAAAATTAGCTGGGTGTTGTGGCGGGCACCTGTAATCCCAGCTATTTTGGAGGCTGAGGCAGAAGAATTGCTTGAATTTGGGAGGTGGAGGTTGCAGTGAGCCGAGATTGCACCATTGCACTCCAGCCTGGATGACAGAGCGAGAATCTGTCCAAAAAAAAAAATTTAAAAAGTCCCCCCAAAATAAAAATTAAAGCGACGATCCCGCTACTTGCTATTTTTAATTCAGTAGTGTTTATTGTACACCTTTAAGCCTTTGGAGTGGACTAAATTGTGTAACGCTTCCTCTCTGCCCTCAGGGAACTGAGGCTCTTGTTTTAACACAAGTAGATTTTTAATGACATTTTGATGATCAATTTCTCCAGAAATTGTAATCAATAATTTGACATATGTTTTAAAAGTAAATGGCCTACATGTAAATGAATATAAGAGGTTAAATGTGTCAAGGTCATGCAGCAACTAAACTGCAGAGTCAGAATTCTAACAAAATGGGCCGGACTCCACATCCTAGAGCCTTAATCACCAAGTGAAACCGTCTGTTAGATGAAGCCACACAATAATGATCAGAAGACTCTGCATTTAAGCGTGGCTACTTTTTTTTTTTTTTTTTTAATTGTTTTTTAAGTTCTAGGGTACTTGTGCAGGATGTGCAGGTTTGTTACATAGGTAAATGTGTGCCATGGTGATTTGCTGCACCTAACAACACATCACCTAGAGATTAGGGCCAGCATGCATTAGCACTTTTCTCCAATGCTCTCTCCCACCCCAGCCCTCTCCTGACAGGCCCCAGTAAGTGTTGTTCCCCTCCCTGTGTCCATGTGTTCTCATTGTTCAGCTCCTACTTATAAGTGAGAACAAGTGGTGTTTGGTATTCGGTTCCTGCATTAGTTTGCTGAGGATAATGGCTTCCAGCTTCATACATGTCCCTGCAAAGGACATGATCTCATTCCTTTTTATGGCTACATAGTATTCCATGGTGTGTATGTACCACATTTTCTTTAAATTGATCCAGTCTATCACTGATGGGCATTTGGGTTGATTCCATGTCTTAAGCATGGGACTTTGTAATATACAGTCACGCATTGCTTAACAATGAAGATACATTCTGAGAATTGTGTTGTTAGGTGATTCTGTCCTTGTGCACACATCATGGAGTGCACTTACACAAACCCAGATGGTAGAGCCCACTACACAGTTAGGCTGTATGGTATGGCCTATTGTTCCTAGGCTACCAACCTGTATAGCATGTTACTGAGCTGAAATATTGCAGGCAATTATAATACAATGGTAAGTATTTGAGTATCTAAACATAGAAAAGATACAGTAACAATATGGTATTATAATCCTATGGACCCACCATTGTATATGTGGACAGAAATGGTACATGACTGTACTCACTAGTTTACTCTAAAACCCTTAATGGAAATTGTCACTACTTTTTTTCACTTTTCCGTTCAGAAAACAGGCACAATGAATTAAAATGTCAAGGATCCGACTTCAGGATGCTAACTTCTGATTTCTGCTGCAAAGATAACAGAAGGTGTGTTTTGATAAAAATGAGATTAGAGGCTGGGCACAGTGGCCCACGTTTGCAATCCCAGCATTTTGGGAGGCCGAGGTGGGAAGATTATTTGAGGTCAAGAGTTTGAGACAGTCAGGCCAACATGGGGAAACCGTCTCTACTAAAAACACATAAATTAGCTGGGCATGGTGGCACACGCCTGTATCATCCCAGCTACTCAGGAGGCTGAGGCATGAAAATTGCTTGAACCCAGGAGGCGGAGATTGCAGTGAGGTGAGATTGCATCACTGCACTCCAGCCTGGGTGACAGAGGGAGTCTCAAAAATAAAAAAGAAAAAAAAAAAAAAAAAAAAGAGAGAGAGAGAGAGATTAGAGCAAAGAAGTAGGAGTGTGAGGAAAATCTACAATCTCCAAGTCCTTATTTCAGTTTTCATAGGCATAGAAATAATTTTAAAAGTTTAGTGTAGCAACTTCTTTGTTTTTTTTTTTTGAGGCAGAGTTTCTTTCTTGTCGCCCGGTTGGAGGTGCAATGGTGCAATCATGGCTCACTGCAACCTCTGCCTCCCCGGTTAAAGCAATTCTCCTGCCTCAGCCTCTCGAGTAGCTGGGATTGCAGGCGACTGCCAACATGCCCGGCTAATTTTTGTATTTTTAGCAGAGATGGGGGTTTCACCATGTTGGCCAGGCTGGCATCGAACCCCTGACTTCAGGTGATTCGCCCACCTCAGCCTCCCAAACTGCTGGGATTATAGGCGTGAGCCACTGTGCTGGCCTGTTCTTAATAATGGGTGGTAACTCTGTAAGTCACAAAATGTAGAACTACGTTACAACAGCTAATTCTTAGTAGCATGAAGAAACAGATTATCTAACACCAATATACTATATACTTGATTCGAAGTAGAGTCACAAACTGGGGGACAAAACAGGGCCTCTAGATAGGTTTTATTTGGCTAACATTATATTAAATTTTCTTTAAATTACTTCCCAATGAGATAAGATTTAAAAATCTGAATTTCCAGCTTCTCTTGGAAAACAAAGGATCTGGCAACATTATGCCTGAATTCTAAAGCTGAGTAACTTTGCCTGTACTTAGGATGAAAGCTCACCTGTTTACCACAGTCCCCACCATTCCCTATTGCCCTACATCTGGCCTACATTTCTCATTTTTGTTACCTGCCTGACACTGGTAGGTATCTGAGTTGGTGACATCAATGTATAGAATGACCCAAGACATTTTCTAATTCATGGTAAGATATTTCTAACCAGATAAGGACTATGTTCACAAAAACTACACAACAGAAATCATTTCAAGTGATACCTTCAAATGAGAGATATTAAAATTATATTTAAGCAAAAGGAAAGATACTTACTGAACCACAGCCTGACCCCGAGTGAGACCTTTGATTTTCAAATAATGCTCAATTACCCTGTCCTCACTGTAAAACAAAGAAATGAGAAGGATTGCAATGCATGATTATCTGAGGTACAGTCACAGTTTCCACATTATCAGCAAACTTGAGAGAGAAAGCCTTCAGCAACTTGTTTGGTAGACAGAATTTGGCTTTTGTTTCTGTAGGAGATGGATTCCTGAACTTCAGACATTTGATGCCTGCATTATCATCTTCAACTTATATTTTATGTAGCATATTTATATAATATATATATTGCTACCTTTAAAACTTGAAGCACATGGCCAGGCGCGGTGGCTCACGACTGTAATCCCAGCACTTTAGGACGCTGAGGTCAGGAGATTGAGACCATTCTGGCTAACACAGTGAAACCCCATCTCTACTAAAAATACAAAAAAGGAGCTGAGCGTGGTGGCATGTGCCTATAGTCCCAGCTACTTGGGAGGCTGAGGCAGGAGAATCACTTGAACCTGGGAGGTGAAGGTTGCAGTGAGCCAAGATCGAGCCATTGCACTCCAGCCTAGGCGACAAGAGTGAAAATATGTCTCCCCCCAAAAAACTTAAAGCTCAGTGGCTCATACCTGTATTCCCAGCATTTTGGGAATCTGAGGCGGCCAGATCACCTGAGGTCAGGAGTTTGAGGCCAGCCTGGCCAACATGGTGAAACTTCGTCTCTACTAAAAACACAAAATTAGCTGGATGTGGTGGCACACGCCTGTAATCCCAGCTACTTAGGAGGCTGAGGCACGAGAATCACTTGAACCCAGGAGGTGGAGGTTGCAGTGAGCCGAGATTGCGCCATCGCACTCCAGCCTGGGCAGCAAGAGTGGAACTCCATCACAAAAACAAAAAACAAACAAAAACTTAATTTACTAGAAAAGGAAACAATATTAATTTCTCAAGTGGAAAATGATCTTTTGCCATAATTGGATGGAATATAATACATATAAAATAATGATATCAAATGTTAGTTGTAGAGCATTATTGAAGAAATTTTGAGCATAAGGCCTATCCTCTCTTTGGTTAAAACAGGGAGATCAGCAAGTGTTAGGCATTAAAGACTTTGTCCTTGAATGATTCAGAAAGATTTTAAAAGAATTTAAACTGCTTCTGAGTCTGTGTGCAATCTAAAATACTCTATTATCACCACTTACAGACACATTGCTTTAGGAGAAAACCCTTTTATTGCCCTAGAGCAAAACCTGTTGACTGGAAAGGAAATCTCAAGTATAACCTAGAAGATGAAGTATTTCTATCTCCATATGACTAGTCGTCATTAGTAATGTCTTTTTTTTATTATTATTAAAAAACTATCAAGGTCAGGTGCAGTGGCTCATGTCTGTAATCCCAGCACTTTGGGAAGCCAAGGCAGGCGGATCACGAGGTCAGGAGTTTGAGACCAGCCTGGCCAGCATGGTGAAACCCCGTGTCTAATAAAGATACAAAAAATTAGCTGGGCATCATGCTGCGTGCCTGTAATCCCAGCTATTTGGGAGGCTGAGGCAGGAGAATTGCTTGAATCCAGAAGGCGGAGGTTGTAGTGAGTGGAGATCATGCCATTATACTCCAGCCTGGGCGACAGGGGAAGACTCCATCTCAAAAAATAAATAAATAAATAAAACTATCGCTTGGCCGGGCCCAGTGGTTCACACCTGTAATCCCAGCATTTTGGGAGGCCAAGGCAGGTGGATTACCTGAGGTCAGGAGTTTGAGACCAGTCTGAGCAACATGGTGAAACTCTGACTCTACTAAAAATACAAAAATTAGCCAGGCGTGGTGGGGGGTGCCTGTAATCCTCGCTACTCGGGAAGCTGAGGCACAAGAATCACTTGAACTAGGGAGGTGGAGGTTGCAGTGAGCCGAGTTCATGCCACTGCACTCCAGCCTAGGTGACAGAGCAAGACTGTCTCAAAACAAACAAACAAACAAACAAACAAACAAAACTATCACTTGAAAATGACATGGTTAGCAGTTTCCAGAGTCAAGATGCTGTGTAGCTTCAGCACTTACTTTCACTATATATTTGGGAATATACTTCCAACTTCATACTAAACGTCTCAATATTGAATATTTATTTTGTAATGTCTATTTTGTAACATTTTAGCAGAAAGAAAAACCATCTTGAGGATTCAGACTAAAACCAAAGAGAATGTATTTAACAAGAATATAAGAATTTAAAGGAAAATGTAATTTAGGAAAAAAATGTGGGATGAAAATGGATACTATGGATTCATTAAAGTACAAACAACTAAACCAACTCAATATATGCAATATCTAGCTGTAGTAGAAACCTCTGGTCATTATGAAAGTCTCTGATCCAAGGAAATCTGTATTTTATAACACTTATATTGCATTCTGCTAGATTAAAGCTGCATTACACAGTGACTGCACATATACTGAATATTATATATTCACCTAGAAGCATACTCTACAGACATTTTATGCACTTGAAAGAAACATCAGCCAGCCACTCTTTGCAAATGACAGCAAGACATGTCTTAGTATAATGATCTCCAGTAAGCTTCGAGTACATCCTTTCACTGAAAGGATCAAGGTCTACCTGTGGTAACTTTATACAATTGATGGGCAATTTGATATTTTTCTCACTTACATTTCTTTTAATGCCCTGAAAAGCATGTAGTTCTGAATGGAGGCTATGAGAATGGGTCACCTGTTACGTGGATTTGGCTTACCAGTAGGCAAGGGATGGATGCTCCTGAAGAGTTTTGGTTGGAAAGGCTGGTAATGTCTTTAAATCTTTCCTGGCATTCTCATCACTAAAAAGAAACAGAATATGATAATGTCAGGTACTGCTATCCAAAAAATTATCCAAGCTGGTCACCAAATGAATGAGATAAAAAAAATAACTATTTACAGCATCTTGAAGCCAACATACACATGGTTATGGACTCTAACTAGAAACAGCCCCCAAATTTAACAACTGAGTTCTATGATGAGATGTTGAAGTTTGTAATATTGTCTGCATGTGTCTATTTTACACATAACTATGATTATAATTGTACATTTTTCACATTGGATTTTTATAGAACATTCTTCACATTTCATTATCCACTTTCTCCGCGTTCCTACAGTATCTTACTAATTATCTTTAGTGGCTACATAATATTCATCATAGTGGAATACTGGTTATCATGAAACCATTCACATAACATCACCAGTTTTTCATAATAGATATCATTGCAATGAAAAGGTTTATGTAGTTGTTTATATTACTCTTCTGTTACTTCCTTACAACCCTCTGAAATATAGCAGACCAACTCAGTCATCTGCAGAAATCTCTTGACTAGAAGATGACTGGAAAACGTGCTTCTAATGAAACCCAAGGTATCTCTTAAGTCACATTAAGTGAACTAAAATGTACCTCATGTAAGGTTAGCTATTATCTAATTATAAAACGGCAAAATTCTAGTTGTCAAGAGAAAGGTGTGGTCTTTATAGAACTTTAAAAAAGGGAGAACAGGCCAGGTGCGGTGGCTCACACCTATAATCCCAGCACTTTGGGAGGCCAAGGCGGGAAGACCATGAGGTCAGGAGATCGAGACCATTCTGGCTAACATGGTGAAACCCCATCTCTACTAAATATACACACACACAAAAAAATTAGCCGAGCTTGGTGGCAGGTGCCTATAGTCCCAGCTACTTGGGCAGCTAAGGCTGGAGAATGGCATGAACCTGGGAGGTGCAGCTTGCAGTGAGCTGAGATCACACCACTGCACTCCAGCCTGGGCGACAGAGTGAGACTCCGTCTCAAAAAAAAAAAAAAAAAAAAAAGGGAGAACAGGTAACACTATCCAGTCATAGTTGGTTATGAGAGAAAATACTCTAACTGCTGAGTATTTAAGGATACAATCTATGAGGAAAAGGACATGATTATCTAGAGCCTATTAGAGTGTAGAATAAGCACATGAAACAGCTACTCAAAATTCTGATCAAATCGGTGTTCATCAAACAGCATAACGCTAACTCTTCCTACGTTCCCCTTCTTCCTATCTTTACCACTAGCTACCCTTCAATAAAAGGCTCCCAAGTGCCAGATACCATGCAACACACTTCTTGGGCATTATTTAACTCATGTAAGGCTCACCACAAGCATTCCCATACAGTAGATACTATTATTATCTATTGAAGTAGACGAGCCCCCCAGCTGGAGGACCAAACATTGAACCATTCCTTATTGCTATTACATTTCAAAGCCAGGGTTGTGGCCTTTCCTACAGGTGAAAGATCTAGCTTTCCAAATTACTACAGGAAATAGTCACTTGGCTCCTATTCTTACATAAGAATAAATCTCTCTATTCATTTGAAATCTGAGTGTTATGGCTTAACCACACTGACAATCTTGGGAAACTGGTTTGTGCTTCCTGAAAATCAAAATATACCACAATCCAATTCATTCATATTAAAGGTCAACTGTCAACTCCCAGTATATTTATTTTTCTTAATAATCTCTTTTATGTTCTGTCTGGCATACCACATTTACGTTTTTTTTTTCAAACCCAAGACTGTCTGATACATTTACTCCTAAATTGTGATTTTTTTTTAATGAAGGGCAAATGCATGCATATATTCAAAAATGATAAATTCAGGACAACATCGTGTTATGAATCATCCACATCAACCACATGCTTGTTGTTATATCTGGATCTAGGTGAACCATAGGCCATGTTTCAAGAACCCAGCCTAACATTCACTTACTTGGATTACAGTTAATTTTGTGGCAGTGGAGACCTCACTAGACTGGAAGTTGCTATTAATCATAAATTTATTTATTCAGTTAACAAAAATATGTAGAAATGAGTGTCACATGCTGGAATTGTTTTTAACTCATATAAATGCAGTCAGCCAAAAGGGAAAGGAGAATGGGGAAAGAAGTGAGGGAGAAATTTTGTCTGTCATTCCATTCAATAAGCTCATGGTTGAGAATAAGTACAAAACAGGTGACTTGAAGCTGTTGTCCTTAGTCCTATGTCTCTCAAAGCACAAGTATCTCATGACACTGAGATTTTTCTGGCATTCAGGCATTTAATACATGTCTGCTAAACTCAAGCAATCTTTATATCTAGTGCCTAAAGAAATAGCTGTGTGTTTCAACTGGAGAAAAATACCACCTGTGTTGGATTTATTGAAAGATGAAGTTTAGTCTTCAGCATATCATTTTCCCAACAGTTTTCAAGAGTAATTTGAACTATACACAATCAGAATCTACTCCAGTTATAAGATGTTATTTGTTTAGAAATTTTGGCTGAATAAATCAATAAATTACTAAAGGTTAATCATGAGCCAGTATCTGAGATAATGATGAATATTCACTCATTAAGACCTTTTTTTGGGTACTAATCAATCACTGAGAAGCAACTAAAATGTGCATTAATAGGGAAGTGGATTAGGGATCATTTTAAGGAGAATTTAGACTACCTTGAAAAAAAGTATTCTTAACCAGGCGCAGTGGCTCATGCTTATAATCCCAGCACTTTGGGAGGCCGAGGCGGGTGGATCACCTGAGGCCAGGAGTTTGTGACCAGCCTGACCAACATGGTGAAACCCCGTCTCTACTAAAAATACAAAAATTAGTTGGGCGTGGTGGCAGGCGCCTATAATCCCAGCTACTCAGGAGGCTGAGGCAGGAGAATCGCTTGAACCCGGGAGGCGGAGGTTGCAGTGAGCCGAGATTGTGCCATTGCACTCCAGCCTGGGGGACAAGAGTGAGACTTCGTCTCAAAAAAAAAAAGTGGTTCTCAACATTGGCAATTTTGCCCCTCAGGGGACATTTAGCAATGTTTGAAGGCATTTTTGATAGTCACAACTGAGGAAGGAGGTGTTACTGGCTTCTACTGGGTAGTTCCTACAGTAGTTCCTACAATGCACAGGACAGCCCTCAACAACAAAGGATGATCCTGCCCAAAATGTCAATAGTGCTGAGATTGAGAAACCCTGCCTTCAATTATAAGAATCCTGAAAATTCTACCGTAATACTCTACAAAGCATATCTTTCAGACTTACAGAATTTTTCTCTTATGTCACTCTGAATATTAGACATCTCAGATGCAACTGTCTAATAGGGGCCAAGTGAGATAGGCATTAGAAAATCAACTGGGTAAGCGAGCTGAGAAATGGTAAGTCAAACTCAGCATCAGACCCGGGGACAATGAGAAATGGTATGAACTATGAAGAGAGGAGAACATCGTCCATGTTTCATATAAGATACAGATTTGACTGTGTGTGATGGAGATCAAAACTTTAGTTAATTTCTCTTCACATAAGTCAGAGCTGGCTGGGCATGGTGGCTCATGCCTATAATCCCAACACTTTGGGAGACTGAGGCGGGAGGATCCCTTGAGCCCAAGAGTTGGAGACCAACCTGGGCAACACAGTGAGACCTTGTCTCTACAAGAAATTTTTTAAAAATTAGCCAAGTGTCATGGCATATGCCTGTGGTTTCGACTACTTGGGAGGCTGAAGTGGACCATTGGAACCCAGAAGTAAAAGGCTCTAGTGAGTTATGATTGCACCAATGTATTACAGCCTGGGCAACAGAGTGAGATTCTCTTATTAAAAAAAAAAAAAAAAAAGAATGGAGAGAAGATGTCTTCTCAGTTTCTTGGTTTCTAGTTTCAGATAATTTGCTAACTGCAAATTGTCAGTAGTGAATGATTAAAGGAGACAAGTAATTTAGGCAAATTACTTGTCTCGCTACTTGTGGAATTTTGACTATCCCTCAAAATCACACTTTTTTTTTTTTTTTTTTTGAGGCTGGGTCTTGTTCTGTTGCCCAGGCTGGAGTGCAGTGGCTCAATCATGGCTCACTGCAGCCTCAACCTCCAGCCTCTAGGGCTCAAGTGATCCTCCCACCTCAGCCTCCCAAGTAGCTAGAATCACAGATGCATGCCACCATGCCTGGCTAATTTCAAATTTTTCATAGAGATAGGGTCTCACTATGTTGACCTGGCTGATCTCAAACTCCTGGCCTCCAGCAATCCTCCTGCCTTAGCATCCCAAAGTGCTGGGATTACAGACACGAGCCACCATGCCCAGCCCCCCAAAATTACATTCTCAGGGAAGAATATGGCCTTATTTCTTCACATTAGAAAAGGCTCCTGTTAATCTTCCAAATCTGGTCATTTGTACTATTGCAAAATATCCCTTGTGAATATATAACATCACTTTCCTATAAGAAGCTGTTTAATATAGGAATTTTCCAGCAAGCCATCACTGATATTTGAAGTGGTTGAGCTGTGGACGTGACTATAACACTAAAAGAAAAAGCCAGCAGAATAATTAAAAGATGACTGAGACAGACAGCCTGGCAGAAAAAATAGGCTAAACTCTTCAACAAGCAGTATATAGAAGTAGAAATCCAAATGGCCAACAGAAAAAAAGTGTTCAACTTCATAAGTTATCAAGGAAATGCAAATTAAATCCTCAATTAATTACTAATACACACCAGACTATCAAACTTTTTTTTATCTTTGAAACGGAGTCTCACTCTGTTGCCAGGCTGCAGTGCAGTGGTGCGATCTTGTTTGGTCCTAAACAAGGACCCGGGTTCAAGCGATTCTCCTGCCTCAGCCTCCAGAGTACCTGGGACTACAGGTGCATGCCACCACGCCCAGCTACTTTTTGTATTTTCAGTAGAGATGGGGTTTCACCTTGTTGGCCAGGATGGTCTCTAACTCTTGACCTCATGATCAAGAGATAGACCGCACCTGGCCACACTATCAAACTTTTTTTTTTTTTTTTTTTTTTGAGATGGAGTCTC